CCATCTCCGTTGAAGCAATTTCTTCACCGTTGAAGAAATTGCTTCAACGGAGATGGCTACTCACCATGTCACGATTTTCTTTTACTTAGAATTTTAACTTGCAATGTACTCTGCATCTCATTGTTGATAAAAACAAAAACCCTGAAACCTTGTGATCATGAAATTGTGATAATTTCGAAAGCTTAAGTCTTGAATAAACTCAATATATGACAACTTTTAATGAGATCGTTAAACAAGTATCGTGTCAAGTCAAGAAAACCATTCGATCTATTTGAACATCACTTGAACAAGAAGCTTATTAAAGCAGAATCTGCTGTCAAGTTCAATGAACAATGCATATATATATATAATTCGATGAATATACTAATTCATCGAGCTGCAGCTACACACCAAACACCGGTGTATCTCCTTCACAACACCGGAAGGGGGTGTACCCAATTGGCTGCTAACACCACACATTGGTGCAAAGGTATTTGTTTTGTACCCGTAAAGAAGGTGCAAATTAATGGTGTAGCACCTTTTTATGGTGTAAAGACGTCGTGTAGCACCACAAGGTGGTGTACTTACAGTGATTTAACGCCATACGCCGGTGTATGTGCCTGGTGTTACACCAGGATGCAGTGTATGCTTACACCAAAGCTTGGTGTTGAAACTACACCGGTGCAGGTGCTCAAAAACGGTGGGGTGTAAACATTTCCTAAAAAGGTGTAAACACCAGGAGCGGGTGTGAATTTATTTTCAGTGCGACAGCGCACCCCAACCGCCACGCCACGATCCGTCACCGAGACACCGTCCAAACGCGACCCGTCCTAGGTCACCCACCGATGCACGTTCACGGTCCACGCACGCAGTCGCTCATGCACTCACGCAATCAATCAGGGGTGTCGTTTTCCGAAAATGATTGGTAGTGCCCAAAGGCGGCGGCTGGCCATATATGACGGGGCTTACAAGGTAGGGTACCCCCAAATCTGCCTTTCTCATCGGATTTCGGCCACTTATTTTTCGCCCTGGTCATTGACAAGACTAACCGAAATCTAAAAAAAAAAACACAAAAAAAAACTTTGGAAATCTGGGTCCACACCGGACGCCATGCACAAAACGTGCAGTTATATAGGCAATAGTGTCGGAGGAATGCACGCCATTCTGAAAGAGGCCCACATCGACTTAAAAGGACGGCTGTGCTGAAAGGGGACAGGAACAGCTTTGAGGGCCCAAGCCGACTAAAAAAGACGGCTGCGGGGCCAGGAACGGTTTTGAAGACCCACGCCAATTGAAGGGTTCGACAACTAACGAGGACTGGAAACACAACGATAGTTAGAAAGACCTGCTTGCCAAAATAAAAGGATGACAGTACGAGGGGCGTTCAGAAAGCTACGGGCCCGACCATGAAGGAGCAGAGAGATACAGCATCGACTCATTAGACCAAAAAGTTCATTTATTCAAATAAACACCGTTAAGACAAACACATTTCGCGCAGCGCTTCGCGAGAGCCCTCAAGGCCTCCATAACCAAGTGGGTTTTGGACCCATCCTGCACGTCCAAGACGGCTGATTTCGTCTCCCTGCTGTTAGCGAGGTTGCCGCTGCTAATTTTCTTATGTTGGGGAAGAGGTGGCAACCACTAACCAGAAAGTGCAAGGTTCGGAGAGAAAAAAGTGGATGCGACAACAACTCGAAGCTCATCGCTCCACTGTTCGTCATCCCGCCCATGTACGCAGGTGCGTGGTCGCGGATCAGGTGCACACTTTACGTCAGCTTCCCTATAGCCTCTCCTCGATGTTTATCGAATGGACGCACATCATCAATTGTGTGCCCCTGTTTTGGAAAGTTGACGAGCGGAGGGGGGTCGCATCGACCCCTCTCCCCTGCCAGGCCGTGTTATGAAAAATGCCCAGGGCGAGGGTTAACGCTTGGTGCCTTTTCTGCACTAACTACTATGAAACGAATTACTGCTCTCTTCTGGGCGTCGCCCATCCTATCCGAAATGGCGAACTATGCTACGAATAGAAGCCCGAATCAATCACAGAAGAGACTTAATTAATGGCCACTTACTTAATTTGCGTAAGTGGACATCCCAATAACACATCATTTAACACACCGCCTTGCAGGCCAAAATTCCAACTCCTTCATTGTTCGGCCCAAAACTTTTTGAACGCCCCTCGTAGTTACGAGCTTCAGTTTTCGGGGTCTGATGCGGTAATGACCTGGCGTTGAACCCTGGGGAATCAGGCTGCATCACCCACTCAAATCAATATACCTATGGCCTATTCTGGAGCACCGCGGCACCTTCCGAAGTCGGTGTAGGGCCTCCAGCGGCTGGTGTGGAGACGGATCGGGGTCTATTAGGGGCGGTCGCGTGGTATGCGGGACTCAGAGGCAGTTATGGACCTCTATAACCAATTGCGTTTTCGAGCCTCTTAAAATCCATTAACCCGCGCCCCGTTGGGCTCTGCCGAGCAACGCGCCCGGTTGGGGGGGGGGGCATTTTGGCCCCCCCCCTAAGATCTCGAGAACCACGCAACATAGCGACAAGCGGTAAACGGCGTTGGATAGCCCCAACGGGGAACTACCTTGTGACCTAATTTTATTGACCTAGGTCAAACCGATGACGTCACAGGTCAGGTCAAAGGTCCAATTTTCACCGTTTACAGGCACTTCAAGAAATGCGTTGTAAAATCGAGTAAAATGCATTTCATTGAAAATCATCGATGGGGAAATGTTCTTCAAACACATATTTTGCTATTTGAGGTCACTGATACCAGGTCAGGTCACAGAGGTCAGGTCACGGGGGGGTCACAATATGAAAGTGTCGTGTGATACATGTTTTATGGTCCATTTTACATGACAAATGCGATTATATGGGTCAGGCAGCCTTTGGGGCCAGCTTAGATCACGTTTTGGTCAAGGTCAGGTCAAGGTCAGGTCAAGGTCAGGTCAAATTAGGTCAAATTTCAAAGTTAATAATTTTGCATAAAATGGGTATCGAATCGATGCAGCTCGTCACGGGGAGTTCACTGCTGGTCTTTGTTTTGCCGTACGTGGTCTAGAATCGCTAAAAATTGAGTTAAAAAGTTTGACGTCATCATTTTTGAACAGTTTTTTCGCTATAACTTGGCCAAAAAACGAGATATCGATCTGAAATTTGGGATGTATATAGAAGAGCGCTGGGACTATCACATATATTCTGTTTTTTTTCGAAATTCGGAAAATTTTTGGATTTTTTCAAAGTTTTTCTAAAAAAAATCAATTTTTTGTTTTTTTTCTGGTCAAAAACCAAAAATTTTGAAAATCTGAGATAGCAGTTTTGTAGCGCCGCTTTTTGTCTACTAGACCATACAAAGAACTTTGAAATTGCTTGATAACTGTAGATTTGGTGAGCGTTTCAAGATTGCATGTTTTTTGCTCATTTTTGCTCGAACATGACCTCAGTTTGACCTCAATAACTCCTGACCTAAGGTGACCTAAGACTTGAAATTTTTTGTGAAGGTGTCAAATTGATGCCCGGGAAGGTACTGAAAATTTGGCGGCGCTGCACGCCGCCGTTTTCTTGCTATTCAGGAAAAACCAGAGAGGGGGGGCCAAAATGGCCCCCCCCAACGGGGCGAGGGTTAAGGACCGGAGTCCTAGACACGTGAAACCTCATTGTCAGCTATGTACATGCACATACTGTGGCTAGAACCTTATTTATGTACTTGCATATGTGCTTATTTAATATTTGCTTATCTGTTTATTTTGATTTTTTTTTATCAACTGATAAGTGACAAAAGATTGGCTGGTAGGGCTCAGCGAACATTGGTAGGGCCCAAATAAACATTGGTAAGGCTCGGGCCCTACCAGGCCTACACAAAACGACGACCCTGACTATTGTGAAACTTGGTAGGTAGGTAGGTAGGTAGGTACCACATAACTTGAAATTACTTGACGTAATGACATGATATGGAAAGTGAAAATGATACCTAGGTATTGATGGAAATTTATGGACTTAGGTACGCTACAAGAAGATTGAATTGGTCAACCAATTCAAATTCAATCTACTTGTGGAGTAAGTCTATAGATTTTCATCAATAGTTACCACTTACCTACCATTGAAGTTACTTGCTATCTTGTTGATTTTATACATAAGAACCTCATTCATTTTATTTGTATGACATGTTTGAATGCAATTTTCTCAATAAGTGAAGAAAAATGTTGGTAGTGCTCAACAACACATTGGTAGTGCTCAGCTGAACATTGGTAGTGCTCGGGCACTCCCAGGCCTATACAAAACGACGCCCCTGCAATCAATCATGCAATCACTCAGAGCAATCGTTCGGAGAAAGGCACTCTGTCACACTACGGCCCCACGCGGAACGTAGGTGCTGTGGAGGTAGGCGGGAGAGCCGCCCGGCGCGTCCGGCCGCTGGCGCCGCGCCAGGTCAACTGGCGCGGCGCCAGCGGCCGGACGCGCCGGGCGCTGTGTGACTGTGTGTGACTGTGTGTGTGACTGTCTGTGTGACTGTGTGACTGTCTGTGTGACTGTCTGTGTAACTGCTGTGTGACTGTGTCAGTCACTAAATTTGAACAGGGGCGAGATGTCGTATGAGTTCACCTACCCTATACATCTGGTGTTTTTAAGTGCATCAGGTCAGGAGCTAATCGCCAAAGGTCGAACCGGCCCCTCACCGTCCGCGTTATGAAAAAGGCCTGGCCAAGGGTAAACATTCGTATTGATAAACGTTTCTTTATTATCTCGCTTTTTTGCGAAAAACTAGTCACGATAGTTAATTTTGATATTGGTTACCTAAGACCCGTCTGCCTGCCTGCGAAGCTTGTTTGCCTGGTATGCAACAATACGGGTTGCATGACAAAACATGTCGTAATACGTAATGACATGTCGTTTTGTGACGTGATTAGACACGACGCTGCACGACATGTCGTAATGCGTACAACGAAACACTACGTACTAGGCCACTGATTTATGATGAGTAGAAACGTAACAAAATCTATAATTCTGCGTTCCAGATGGAGATGACAGATGTGCGTGAAGACCTGGCCGCCCTTCGCCGGGAGGTGGCCTCACTGAGCAAAGTGGTGGCCGGTGCGGTGGTCCGCCTGGAGCAGGCAGTTATCGAGGAGCGGACCACTCGCCAGACCGTGGTGGAGGATCGCTACGGTTTGGCATGGGTGAAACTTTGACATTACCATTGGGGTCCCAAACGTCCAAGGGGGCCTCCATTTAGTGGGGGGCCTCCAAGCAATTAGGGGCCTCCAATCGTGGAAGCGGTAATTTACGAACCACGCCAGGGCCTCCTCTAAGAAATTTTCACTGGGGGACCAGAGGCTCAGAAGCCAAACTCAGGGTACCCCCAAATCCAGTTTTCTCTTCGGATTTAGGCCACTTATTTTTCGTCACAGCTCGGATGCCATGATTTAATTTTTTAATATTAATTAAGAAATGGTAGGTCACCTGACCCTACTGGTGGTCCCAGGCCAGCAGGGTGACATTGTATGTAAATTTCCCCTGCGGCGTCCGAAATCGACGAAAATTTCTGGCTTTTTCACTTTCGACAATAAAACAAAATGCCTTTATTATAAAAAAAAAATTAACGGCACGGAATTGCGCAAGGAATCTAACCGACCCCAGAAAGTGTGAGGGTTAACTCTCGCCCGCACCTGGGGTGAGGGTTGCCACCCCCGAAGTTAGTTTTTCTGCTCTACACTTAACATTTTAAAAGCTAGAGACCTGATTTTTTGTATAGCTGCTTTTCTATCTTTTCTCAGCGTCCATTAAAAAAGTCAAGTTTCTGTGGCTTTTGGGTTTGGAGATATGACCTTGTTCTTCAGGTCTTGTCATGCCCTAAATGACGAATACCCAATATCTTGCGTTGGCTATGGGCCTTGTGAGCTTTTGACACCCTAATTTCGTTTTTTTTTTTGCCAGTCTTACCTCCCACCTATCATTGAACATGTTGTTCTGCGATGTAGGTACAGATGTTAGGGTCAGGGTCAAGGTCAACCTAGGTCATCTAAAATTGTTGCGTTTTAGGCAAGTTGAATTTACTTTCCGTGAAGTTTCTTTGAATGCATGTTTAGTAAAAGCTTCTCAGTTCATGATCTCATGTAGGAATAGGCAGGGACACACAAACCGATCTGTGCACACATCAGTACATACACAGACATACACAGACATACAAACACATATCATTGACCTTGACCTAGCTTGACGTGAAATGACCACAGCCAGCAAATTAGTCGGATAGTGTGACAAAGAGCTGTTCTCTGGCTTGGCACTAATACGGCAGCGTCATCGGTATATGATGAGTTGGCCCGCTGCTTGTGTAGGTATTTTATACGACATCACCACACCACAATTTTTTCTTACAAGATTTTAAGCTTCGCGGTCAAGAGCAACAGATTCTTTGGGAAGAGACGAATCCAATGATACCAAATTTTACCTCATCAGGTCAGTCATTGACCTTTCAGGTCAGGTCAAACTAAAGAATGTTGCTGTTTGGGGTCACCGTTGCCCGTTGGAATATCACGTGCGCTGCTCATCATATACCGATGACGCTGCCGTATTGTGGTGCCAAGCCAGCTAGAACCTCTTTGTCACACTATCCGACTAGGTTTTTGCTGGCTGTGGTCATTTCAGGTCAAGTTAGGTCAAGGTCAATGATATGTGCTTGTATGTCTGTGTGTGTCTGTGTGTATACTGATGTGTGCACCGATTGTGAATGTGTCCCTATAGAAAAGCTTTTACCAAAAATACAGTCAAAGAAACTTCGCGAAGTAAATTCAGCTTGCCTAAAACGCAATATTTTTAGATGACCTAGGTTGACCTTGACCCTGACCCTGGCATCTCTACATCGTCGAACAACATGATCCATGATAGGTGGGGTAAGACTGGCAAAAAAGGCCGAAATCAAGGTGTCAAAAGCTCACAAGACCCATAGGCCATAGCCAACGCAAGATATTGGGTATTTGTCATTTGGGTTATGACATCACCTGAAGAATAAGGTCACATCTCCGAAATCAAAAACCACAGAAACTTGAAATTTTCAGTGGACACTAAGAAAGGAATTAGAGAAGCAGCTATACAAAACATCCGGCTTCTAGCAATCAAAATTTTGAGTGCAGAGCAGAAAAACTACCTGGGAGGTGGGGGTGGCAATCACTGCCCCCTAGTGATGGCAATTACGGAAAGTCGGAATACCGATACCAAACCAAATACCAACCAAAACCACGGGAAAATACCGAAACCAAACAAACTTGGGAAAGTGAGGGAAATACCAACTTTTTACCGATTTCTTAGCCTCTTATACATTAGTGAGGGCTTATGATACCAACAAAATGCCAAACACATTACGATTGAAATACCAAATACCAAGTTGGTATCGGTTTGGTATCGGTATACCAAAAAGTTGGTATCCGATTGACATCTCTACTGCCCCCCCCCCCCCCTATGTGCGGGCGAGGATTAAATAACTTAAATATTAGGAAAACAATTTATTCAAACAGGTATTCCAACAGAGTCCCGCTTTTTTATAGGTGACCTCCGATTTATGTAGCATCTAAGTTGCCCAGGGCGCCTCTTATTTGTAGGTACAGTACAGAGAGCCTCCTACTTCGACTACATACTTGCACAGAGAGCCTCCTTTTTGTAACAGCTTAGCTTCTGCAGGTCGAGCGCCGGTCTTCTATTTGCACGTACAGAGAGCCTCCTACTGTTACAGAGGGCCTCCTATTTGTCTAGGGGGCCTCCTATTGGTTAATGGCGCCTCCTATTTGTCCAAAGGGCCTCCTATTCGTCTAGGGGGCCTCCTATTTGTTCAGGAGGCCTCCTGTTTGTCCAGAAGGTCCCCTCTTTTTCCAGCGGGCTTCTATTTTCCAGGGGCCTTCCTCTTTATCCAGGGGGCCTCCTACGTGTTCAGGGGCCTCTTATTTGTCCAGGGGCCTCCTATTTATCCAGGGTCTTCTATTCGACCAGGGGTCTCATATTTGTGCAGGGGTCTCCTACTTGTCCAGGGGCCTCCTTTTTGGAAGGACCTCCTTTTTATTAAGGGAGCCTTCTATTTGTCCAGGGGGCCTCCTATTCGTACAGAGGGCCTCTAGCTCCTACTTGTCCATGGGGCCTCCTATTTGTTCAAGAGGCCCCTATTTGTACAGGGGTCTCCTATTTGTCCCGGGGGCCTCCTATTTGTCCAGGGGGCCTCCTATTTGTCCAAGGGGCCTGTTATTTTTCTAGGGGGCCTCCTATTTGCCCAAGAGGCCTCCTATTTGTCCAGCGGGCCTCCTACTTGTTCAGGGGGCCTCGTTTTTGTCCAGAGGGCCTCCTATTGGTTAAAGTAGCCTCTTATTTTCCAAGCGGCCTCCTATTTATCCAGAGTGCTCCTATTTTAAGGGGGCCTCCTCTTTATCCAGGGGGCCTCCTTCTTGTTCAGAGGGCCTCCTATTTATCCAGGGGCCTCCTATTTGTCCAGGGGGCCTCTTATTGCCCAGGGGGCCTCCTTTTGTGAAAGGGGCCTCCTATTTGTCCAGGGGGCTCCTAACTGTCCAGGGAGGCTCCTTTTGTGAAAGTGGCCTCCTGGGTCTATGGCCTCCTATTTGTCCAGGGGGCCTCCTATTTTTCCAGGGGGCCTCCTATTTGTACAGAGGGCCTCCTACTTGTCCATGGGGCCTCCTATTTGTTCAGGGGGCTTCTTATTTGTACAGAGGGCCTCCTATTTGTCCATGGAGCCTCCTATTTGTCTAGGGGCCTCTTATTTGTCTAGGGCCTCCTATTTGTCCAGAAGGCCTCCTGCTTGTCCAAAGAGCCTCCTATTTCTCCAGGCGTCCTCCTGTTTTTCGGGGGACCTCCTACTTGCTCAAGGGGCCTCCTACTTGTTCAGGGGGCCTCCTATTTGTCCAGGGGGCCTCCCATTTGTCCAACAGGGCCTCCGATTTGTCCAAGGGGCCTCCTATTTATACAGAGATCCTTCTATATGAACATCGGACCTCCGTTTGTAAAGTAGCTGGTGCGTCTCGGGGGCCTCCACTATTGGGGTCCCAAAATGACAATTGGGGTCCCAAATGATCGTATTGGGGTCCCACATGGGACCTCAAAAGTATACAAAGTTACACCCATGCGGTTTGGCGTGTGGCGTGTTTCTACTCGGTTTGGCGTGTTTCTACTGCGTCCGCCGGCGAGCGGCGCCATCCGGCCGTCCCCAGGGGTGAGACTGGGAGGCAGCAGGGGTGGCTGTGGGGGGCTGATATATTTCGGAGAGCTGTCATGGTGAGATGTAAACTCTCTTTGTAGGTAGAAGGCGTAAGAAATAAAACACCAGTAAACGTGATATCCCGCGAGTTGCTGGGGGGCTTTAAACGCCCCCACTTTTTTCGCCGGGCCATAGCATAAAAACGGCGCGCCGCTGTCGCGCCAAATTTCGGGTACCTGTAGGGAATTAATTGAAGTTTATTGTAACAAAGTTAAAAAGAAAATCGGTCGGAATATTCTTGAGATATCGATGTTTTAGTGACGTCATAATTTCTGAGTTTTCGACCAAAAACGGCATATGTTCAAAAAATCATATAAAATCACAACATAGACATACAGACATGCCGTAAACGCCATTAGACTGCCACTACATTAAACAATCAAATGGCTATCTTCGATTATTGATTATCGTCCCCCATTTTCCAAAATCTTGAACTGAACCATGGCAATTTTTCGTGACTTCTTCACGACCATGATACATTGATACATGCATTTCTTTAATTGAACTTTTTGAGCCAAACACGTAGACATATGACAAAATGAATGTCACCATCGTGTTCTACGCCCCAAATTACCCTTAACCCGCGCACCGACGGGGGTCTGCGCCAACTTAGTACCGACGGGGGGGGGCGGATGACCGCCCCCCCTGAGATCTCAAGAACGAAGCAAGATAGCGACAAGCGGTAAACGGCATCGGATACGCACGGCCAAGATCTACAATTTTTACATAGGTCATTTTCAGGTCAGGTCAAAGATGACGTCACAGGGGTCGAAAAAGTCAAAATGGCGGCGCTAGATATGGAGAGAGTTTTTCTCGAATAACTTTCGAATTAGTCAGGATAGGAACAAACTAAGGGCATCATCGTGATCCTCTCGTCAATCCGCATCGAATGATATATATGTTGACCTCGAAAGGTCAAGGTCAAAGGTTGACCTCAGGTCACGTGACCTCGAGGTCATCATGTATATCATTCGATGCGTCTTGACGAGCTGAACACAATGAGACCATCCACGCGTCTGTATCTTGTTCCTGTACGGAGTTATTGGCCAAAAACCTTTGGTGACCTTTGATGACGTCACATGACCTCACAGCTGCCCAACAGCAAAACAGACCTCAAGGTAGTGAAGGTTGATCGTATATGAAGTCATGTATGGTATATGGGGCCATTCCGACCCGTTTTAGTGGTAAAACAGGGAGTTGATTTTTCCCCCATTGACTTATAATGGGGAGGTCGCGAAATTGACCTGACCTTAGGTCACCGATATCAAAATTCCGAGATATACAAATTGTAGCTACTAATGACCTAATAACATCCTGCGACTTTCAAAGGCCTCCGACATCTACTGTAGCTCTGGCACGGTGACAAAGTTGCAAAAAAGTGACTTGAGGTTGGGTCATTCAAAGTGACCTGGTGACCTGACCTTGAAAGGTAGGAGGTTCAAACTTGCACAGCATGTGTAAAATTGATAAGGAAATAGTCGTACCAAATTTCGCGGCGCTACGCGCCGCGGTTTTCCCGCTATTCGCGAAAAACCTCAGGGGGGGGGGGCGGATATCCGCCCCCCCCGTCGGTGCGCGGGTTAAACATGTGTCACAGGCTGCGAATATCAGTTTTGATTTTCGGGGATATGCGCCTACCCAGTTGACCTGACCTTGACCCTGACCTATGCTTGACTGACCCCTACATGGAGCTGACACTCTTGTAGACCTTATATGATGGATTGTGCAACGTTTTGACAGAGTTTATGACGAGAGGCGCCCATTGCGAAGTCCTGAAGTCCATGCTACTGAAAGCCTGATTTCAGGTGTTTGACCTGACCTTGACCCGACCTGTGACCTCAAAACTCAACTTTAACCCTCGCATGTGTAGGGGGGGGATCGGATGGACCCTCCCATGGTTTTTCGCGAATAACTCGCGTAAAAAGTGGCCGATCGCGACGAAACTTTCAGTACCCTCGCATTGGTCAATTTTACACCTACCCTAAAAATTTCATGACCCTGACCCAAATGACCTTTGACCTGTGACCTCTATTCCGTGACCATGTTTGGCCGGAAGCGCGATTCCGCGTATGTCGGCTCGCATTAGCCGCGCGTTTGCAACATTTTCGTGGTTTCAAACGTTCAAACATGTGATTTGATGTTGCTTCCATGAATTAGGGTGGGTGTCAAGGTCGCCTGAAGGTCAGGTCAGGTCATTAACCTTTGGTGACCTCGGTTCACTTTTTCGAGTTTTACATGTTTCTCGGCTAGTTTTTGGAGCTGAATTCGAATTTAGCAACCATTTCAACATTTGCGAAGTAGTTTTTTGGTGACTTCGTAACATGTTACGAAGCTGTCAGAGGCGGTGGACACGTACTACGAATACCCGTCACGACGCCTACTGGTTGACCTGACCTGACCTGACCCGACCTGGTCTAAATGCTTGAAGACATCATCTGTGATCAAAACTAACACGATATTCGTGATCAGCGTCCTGAAACCCCCTTAGCAGCCACACTTTACGACTTTCTAACAGGTCCCGATTTTCCCGACCTTGGGTCATTGACCTGACCTGGAAGGTCAACCAATGACCTAGGACCTTAAAATTGGGTACCATCGGCTTCCTCTCGTGACGGGCAAGACGCCCGTTTTTTCCGCGAAGCTCTAGCTCGATCAGGGGCAAAACGGCAAGGGGTTCCAACCGACCCCCCCCCCCTACACATTAGAAGCTGGCAAACGCAGCACACATGCGAGGGTTAAAGTACTCATCTGAAGCGTCTCGTCGCGTTCTTTCGTTTGCCGCCTCCTGCGTTTCGCTGCGCTTATTGGTTCTCGAGTTATCGGCTGGGGGCGTTTAACGCCCCCCCCCCCCCAGCAAACGGTGGATGGCGAACTACCCCAGCAACTGCCGGATATGAAGAAATAAAACAGTAACTTGTAATTGCAGTTTCCACCCAATTAAAGAAACATGCCTTAAATTCTTACTATCTTTTGCAAGTCAGCCGTCTAGTCTTGTTCGTCTTGTTCCATTTTTCGGAAGCCGTCCTGCATAAAGTTGGCCAGTTCGGGGCATCATATCCCGCACTTATTTACATGTCTTCATCAGCAATCGTGTCACAAAATCTAATCGGTCGTTTCAAATCGTTCACAGTCGTATCAAATCAAATCTGAACGATTTAATACAGCCGAATAGATTTGACGACATACCATTACTGACGACAATTTTATGGAAATGAAGGTATATCGAAATATCAGATGAGCCGACAATAAATGCGGAATTGTTATGCCTGTTTAGTAGATTTATAGACTTTTTCTTTTCAGTAGAGCTAGAAAAATGGCCAATGACGTCATGATACAGACGGAGCCCCAGCCATCGGCAGTCAGTGACGTCATAGTACAGACGGAGCCCCAGTCATCGGCACACAGTGACGTCACAGTACAGACGGAGCCCCAGCCATCGGCAACTTGTGACGTCACGGTACAGACGGAGCCCCAGCCATCGGTCGCCAGTCTATTCAACACGCTTGAGGAGGCGCTCGGCCTTGTAACCATGACGACGTTTGACGCTCCGTCGGCCCTTGGCGAGGATCAGCTGACGGCGCTCCTGCAGAGTCTTCCCCAATTGGAGGAGCTGACCGTCAGGGTCCCGTCCTTCGGAACGGGGCGGTGGCTGCGGCTGCTGCCGACGTCACTGAGGACGCTATACGTTGCCGGTGAGAAATAGTTGAGGAAACGCGTACTATTACTTCTGAATGGTGGTAGGTACTTACATAGTATGTACATAAAGTAACAGTTTCAGTGATAAACGTTCAGCGGACATATGTGTGCCATGCTACCTACATGCTACACAGACATTAGCCACTGTATTGTACATACCTACCTACTTTATACTCTTGCAAACGAATATGACCTGTATGTACTGAACCTGTATGACCTGTATGGACTAAACTGTATTAATTAACTGACGCATGTATAAGCGTAGTGCATGCTTTGTGCACTATGTTCAATTACTGTCCAACAGAGAGGCTCGAACCTTACGTTGTCAGTGTCGTCTGTGTCAGGGTTTGACACCACAGTGTCAGCCGCCTCCCGACCCGGCAGCAGCTCCGTCCGACTGCTGTCAGCTGACACAGCTCTGTCCGACAGGGCCGGAGGTGACGAAGTCGAGGTGGCCGGGACGGTACGGGAGTGGTCTGTCGGTATCTCTCCAGGGGGTGGCTGCCGATACCATCAGTCACCTGGCCACGGAGCTGGGGTCACGGATTACCCTACTAGACACAGATGGTGAGCAGCGGTTGAAGTTACTCATATATGAATGGCTAGGAAGGGATAAACAACAGTAGCTGTTCCGGCGCTCAGCGTTCGCTGGGTGTGACGTCACGGCCACCCGGCGGGCCGCGGCCCGGCTGACCTCCAGTGACCTTGAGACGCGCTGCCGGCCGCGTCAGCTGATTGTCGGCGGTGCGCGGCGACCCCAAACGCTGCCGGACTGGTCAGGTGCAGGTGTCGCTGCCGGGCGCTCCTGAACGGGGCAGGGGGCGACACAGGGACACGAAGAACAGGAAAACTGGCCGGCGGCAACGCTCCTTGCTTGTTATTTTTGCTCTAAGGAACTGCTTTTTTTCTAGCAAATGTTCATAAATAACGTGGAGAAGCAGTTTATCCCTGAAAATCTGAAGCCTAAATCAAACCAAGAATAACTGGATACAACACATATTACATGTACTGCAGGTAATGCTGCCTCATCCTAAGGTGGGACGGAAGCCATAAGCCATGGCAAGCTGTAGGATGACAAGTCGTGTGCCGTGTGGTGAATGGTGATGGTCAATGATTTGGGCCTCTATTGGACGTAATATTTACGCTACAAATTTTATAACGATACAAAATTGTTATAATCAGCTACACATAAGTGCTGAACAAAATACTTATGTGAAAAGGTTTCAAAAACTCATCATGATGTCATATTGATCAATTGACATCATGAAAATATGCCTAGTTCGGAATATAATGGACTAATTAGTGGTGATTTTGTTTTATATGTCAAAGACCCATTATCATTTTATTTGTTGAATATTATGTTACGGAAAGTCGCCGTAACTTATGAAATTCACATCGTTTTGATAAAGTACATACATATTTACTCAGACACGGAATTATCACAGCATTGTAGCCACAAACAGTTTTCACTTTGTGTTTTCTACACCTGTAGGTAAGTGTACAATGTTTGACCTAGACAAATGCCTGACATTGGTTCAATCACCTTTCCAGCACAAGTTACTACTATTCCAAGTCAACTTCGTGGTGCCATCATCAGGGTGGGCCCAAACACTATCATCCTTCCGGCCGGAGTCGGTGACAGCGAGCTGACGGAGCTGCGGAGCTCACGGGAGACTGTGGAGCGGCTGTCAGTCTCCGCCGCCGACCTCCCGCGACTGAGGGGGCAGCTGCCGGAGGGCCTCAGGCGCTTCAATGTCAGAGGTGAGATACCACGGATCATGCATGCAATGCCGGTATAATGGACAATGCACATGGATATACAAATGAACAGGGAGACAGACGGCAATTGGACGAACCGTTCGAATTCAGCCAACATCTTACAGCCTTGTTTGTGTTATATGGTATTGTTAGAGTGATGCAATGCATGCATTTGCATATAGTGTGAGCATCAAGTGCATGCATGAAATATTATTGTAGCAATTATGGTAATTTGAAATGGTTTCATTGCAACCACTGCGAACAATATATTTATGTTGTCTACCAACCTGATCCGTTACTATACCATGACTGGCTGCCCAGTGCCTAGGCCAATGTGCCTTGCAAAAATCGTAATACTTATGTTGCTCATATTTGCATATTTACGTATGTATGCTGTTGCTAAAAATATCGTTGTGCAGCCGCTCGGATGTGTTAGTGCTGGCTGTGTCTGTGTCTGACACTCTGGTGTCAGTGGTGCAGCGGGGAGCTGGCGGCAGCCCTGTCCGACTGCAGTCAGCTGACACAGCTCTGTCCGACAGGGCCGGAGGTGACGGAGCCGAGGTGGCCGGGACGGTACGGGGATGGTGTTCTGTCAGTTTCGCTCCAGGGGGTGGCTGCCGACACCATCAGTCACCTGCCTGACCTGGGACGGACGGTCAACCGACTGGAGATATACGGTGAGCAGCGGCAGCACGGACAGGCCGCTGATATACGGGCTCAGCGAATGGCGGACACCGAGTAACGGTGTGCCATTGTCGGACCTTATGGAGACAGAAGTGATACATAGCCATTAGCCAATGTGCTTTGCGAAATAATGAAGCCAATTGAGCTCCAAAATGGAGGACTGTTCACTCAGTGACATATTCGTTCAGAGTTAGTTGATCATACTCATAACAATTGTGTTGCACTGTTCAATGAAGTTCATTGCATTTGCTTAACATTGCATATATCAGATAGCACTATTTTTCCATTTTCTACTGTGTCCATAAAACCATGTGAATTATTAGGTGTTTTTTTCGTTTTGTCATATATCGACATGTATTACAGCTAACTGATCCTGTCTGTATGTGTGTCTGTGTGTTTTCCAGATTGTACTGATCTCACGGCCGGCAGCCTGGAGCCCTTCACCAGGTGCCCTGAGCTGCGATGCCTATCAGTCTCCGCCGCCGACCTTCCGCGACTGAGGGGGCAGCTGCCGGAGGGCCTCATACTCCTCAATGTCAGAGGTGAGATACCTCGGATCACACATGTAATGCCGGTATATGCAAATGAACAGGGAAGACGGCAAATGGACGAACCAATCAGCCTCAACTAGCAAGTTTCATCGTTAATCGTGTATATTACTCGTCTCGTATTGTGGTGAGAGGGGGAAGGGGTTCAATGCACGCCCTTCGATAGTGTCCATGGCCATGCTTGTGGCATATGCGTGGAATATTAGTGTAACGTCACGGGGTGATTTACCTAAAAGTTGAGGTACTAGCAATAGTTGCATTGTCACAAGCAGCAAATTTCCGAACAAACGTATTGAGTATTAACCCTATTAGTGGCAGGGGGGGGTTGTTTTTATCCACCCCTCAGGTTTTTCGGGAATATCTCCGAAACCGCTGAAGCTACGATGCTGAAATTTTCTGACTTTTCCTAAAACTAAATTGGGCACATTCCCTGAAAATTTCAAGTTCATAACTTTACCAGGGGCGGCTCCAGAGCACTGAGAATTGGGGGGTCCTATTCGTGAGGCGAGCTATTTGGGCGAAGATCACGATGCTGCACCAGTTTTACGAACAGTGAATGAAAGGTATCATGTGATAACATATACAGTTATTGTGCATCCTCTTTTGACACGTTTTTGCTATAATAGGCGGATCCAGGCGTCCAAAAAGGGGGGTTATGTTTTACCTCCCAACATAGGTGCCCTGACACCGCCTATGCATGACCAATACAATTGTAGTCGTTCTCTCATAAGAAAATTGTCACATAACAAGACCTTTACCACCCTTTTTAGAAACAGTACCAACAAAAACCTTATTTACTATACTTTTTGTGTACCCCCAATCTCAATGATCTGTATCCGCCTATGATTTTTGAAAATGCATATTTTTAGGATCCATGTGAATTCCTGGTTCATTCTCTATCGATCGGCAAAAGTTGCGTTAAGATTGGTTCAGAAACCTGGCCGTGATAAACAGTCTAAAATGTATCTGCAATTTGCCCGTTTCTACCCCCCTCTACCCCCCCTTTTGACATTTTTTAATTTTTATTTTTTAGAAATGTAGATCACGTTGAGCGAAATCGAATGCCGTTTGAATTTTGAAAATCGGCCCGTTAGATCTCGAGATATCAAGGGGGGGTCGTAAACAGCCCCCCCCCTGCCACTAATAGGGGTAGCCAGGAGCCTGCCACTAATAGGGTTAATCGACGACTGACACTGACTGACTACATAGATAGCTCGCTGACGACGAGTCTGAGCAGACTGACGAGACTGACTGGCCGCGGCCCTGGCGCGGCGGTTATACAGAGTATAGGTGGCGCCACGATCGAAGGCGGCCAGCACGGGAAGGCAGGCATTGCTACAATTAGTGAGCACGTATTCCAATGAGGAATAATTATAGACATAGTGCAACCAATGAGAGTAGTAGTACTAGGGCTGTTCCAAAAGTAATGCCTCCTATTTTCTAACTCCGCCCTAAACATGGTGTGTCAAAAGTGGAAATAGCCGCCCGGCTTTAGTTCGCCAGCCTTGTCAATAGATGGCAGTACCACAATATGGGCAGCGGATCGTGCAATTGACGTCAAATTTTCGTTATCTGCTAAGAATTGAATGGCGGATCTTTTCATGCAAGAATCATGTAAATCGGTCCACAACTTTTCTAGCAACAGAGATATGAAGTCAAACACCCTGCCAGAGCGGCGGCGCGCGGCCGGCGGCGGCCGTTACGCGCCGCCTGGGAGACTGGCGGCGCTGAACGGTTCCGACTTGGCACTGCACTAAAACCTGTTAACTGCTTGGAATGGTTATTATAGCAAAATTTTCACTCAAGTGAGGGATAACCAAGGGCAGGAAGTATGTATGCTTGTGTGCGTACTGTGTAACCCAAGAAACTGCATTAGCAGATACTCGCTAATATTAGATCCAGCCAAGTCCAAACGCATTCAAGGGGATGTGTTCCTGATGGGTCAACAATATTTATCGTTCGAGGGCGGATACAGTTTTAACAATACAAAAAATATTTTTGCACAACTCTATTCCTTGAATAATTCTCTTCAACGCCTCATTCCTAGTTAAGCGAATTAGCCCACCCTGGTTGAATAAGTAAGGCGATTTCGCCACAAGGTCGCGGAAAACCGACCGAAAACGGCCGCGCTCAGCGTTAATTTGGGCATGCAGACTCTTAAATACTCGCATTGGGCGGGTAGAGTTTCCCAGGTATTGGCTCCAAAACACCGTATTCGGCTCCCGAATACGTCCAAGTGACCCGCCTCGTTCCTAGTTAAGCTCTAATTAGATCAAGTGACTCATAAGGAGCTAAAAAGCGACAAAAAGCATGAATTTCCCTATGGCGGCGGGCTGACGGGTTGCCAGACGGCGCACCGGCTATTTCCACTTTTGACACACCATGATGATCAGAGGAGGTTGAAATTTGCACCATATCAGGACGTAACCTTTACTCGCATCCCTTAAAATTTTCATTGTTCTATTACATAAATTTACAGTGTGACGCCTTGGTAAACAAGGCTCGTCATGGAGACTCGTCAGAAGCAGAGATGCGTCATTGAATTCCTTCACGGGGAAGGGAATGCACCCATCGACATTCACCGTCGCCTGCAGAAGGTCTATGGAGCAGACGCAGTGGATGCGAGCACAGTAGGTAAGGAGATGGGTCCGTCGTTTTGAGAGCGGTTAAAGTGATGTCAAAGACAGAGCTCGCTCCGGACGTCCGCTCATCGCCACCACCCCGGAGAACGAAGCGCGCCTCGATGGATTGATCCGTGCCGACCGGCGGATAACTCTAAATGAAATGCGAGAAGAGTTGGTGTGAAATGCGATCCGTAACTCCTACACCTACACCCAACTCTTCTCGCATTTCATTGAGAGTTATCCGCCGGTCGGCACGGATCAATCCATCGAGGCGCGCTTCGTTCTCCGGGGTGGTGGCGATGAGCGGACGTCCGGAGCGAGCTCTGTCTTTGACATCACTTTAACCGCTCTCAAAACGGACCCATCTCCTAACTGTGCTCGCATCCACCGCGTCTGTTCCATAGACCTTCTGCAGGCGACGGTGAATGTCGATGGGTGCATTCCCTTCCCTGTGAAGGAATTCAATGACGCATCTCTGCTTCTGACGAGTCTCCATGACGAGCCTTGTTTACCAAGGCGTCTTACTGTAAATATATGTAAAAGAACAATGGAAATTTTAAGGCATGCGGGTAAAGGTTACGTCCTGATACGGTGCAAATTTCAAACCCCTCCGAACATTTGGGCCGGAGTTAAAAAATAGGAGGCATTACCTTTGGAACAACCCTCGTAGTTTCATAGGCTATTGTATTACGCATATACTTATCGCATATACGTATTATGTTCATATTCACATTCTACATATGACTGCTGGTGCTAAAAATTGGCTATTTCTGTGCGGCCACTCGGCTATGTCAGTGCTGGTTGTGTCAGTGTCTGACACTCTGGTGTCAGTGGTGCAGCAGGGAGCTGGCGGCAGCTCTGTCCGACTGCAGCCAGCTGACACAGCTCTGTCCGACAGCACTGAAAGAAAAAAATACCACCCTAGTTAGTTTTTGGGTGGTGGTCATATTTTGAACAGCCTTTTACTTATGGTAAACCAGTTTACGATCCAAATACTAGGCCCAATATCAAAGGAATACTATGCAACTACCAATGCTCATCAAAATACCATGGTCTTAGTACGGTAATATTTTTTCATCATACTACCTTGAAACTAAAGCATAACTAATAAGAAACCAAAGCTCTACTAACGCTAGTATTATCCTGGTACCGCCTACTAAGAAAAATACCACCCTAGTTAGTTTTCGAGTGGTGGTCATATTTTGAACAGCCTCTTACCTATGGTAAACTAACTTACGACCCAAATACTAGGCCTAATATGAATGTAAAACCATGTGAATACCAATGCCAGTAAAAATTACCATGGTATTAACACGGTAACTATATGTCGTCATACCATGCCCAAAAACCCACGTGATACTAGCACGAAACTAGGACTTTACTATCGTTAGCTACTCCCTGGTAATGCTTACTAATGACTTATCATGGTAAAACCATCCTTTTGTCATCTGGATACCAGCTTTGCTTTGCTGGCCAACCATCGTAAAACAATAGTTTACTATGTGACATTTATTGTGATATTACCAGTCGGTTAACAGGATCTTACTAGTCATCAACCAGCATGCTTCATATGCTGTGCTTTAGCCTATCCATGCCAAATTTGTTTATCATTACGACAGCCACTTACTGATGCACAACAGCATGCATGACAGTATCTACCTAGCAGTCGACAAAGCAGCTCTTCACTTTTCCAAAGCATCTACCTAGTAACCTACATGAAATATTTCACACATAAAAAGCATTTGGCCACAAACAAAGTTACGTCTGCACATAACCAAACAACGCGCATGAACAACAATTATTACAGTTCACTTTATCATCACAATGCAATCGGTCTCTTTTCACACAATCGTTGAATGTCGCCCTTCCAGCGATTTATCACGCAACACCTTCTCCAAGGGCATTGGTAGCCATATACCGAAGGTTCGAACTTCGAAAGCCAGCTCTGGAAAAGAGCAGGCATTGATATAAGATAAACCAATGGAAAGATTGATTGTGTGTGCTGCAGTGACACTCTATCTCCTACCCCTCCCACCTTGACTCGCAGTGTCCCGTGACCTAGCTCCCAGTTTGATGAAACAAGGATTTAAGATAAGTTGTTTTAAAAAAATGGCAGCATCTAATAGAACAGGGGATTTGTAGGGTGAGGAATTTAGCAAATTTGGGACATTAGGCCAGAGGCTGGTTCAGGTAAAATGCCCTATAATGAATTAATTGCCATGAGGTGCAGTGTTGAGTGTTGGCAATAATTCAAAAATTCTACTCTTAACCAGCGCCCCACTGGGGTATGTTCTGTAACGCACTCCACTGGGGGAGGCGGGGGCTATTTATAGAACCCCCCCCCCCCGCTCCAACTCCGAAACTACTGGGCCGATTGTCAAAACTGAAACGGCGTCTGATAGCCCTGGAAAAACTGTCGAGCAAAACCTAATTTTATTGACCTCGAGATCACCGTTGACGTCACAGGTCAGATCAAAATAAAAATTAGCAACGTTTTGGCTTGTTAACCCTCCCCCGTATAGGGGGGGGGGGTCGAACGGACTCCCCCTCGGTTTTTCGCGAATACCTCGCGTAAAAAGCGGCCGACCGCAACGAAGCTTTCAGTACCCTCGAGTTATAATCAATTTTACACCTACCCTAAAAAATGTAATGGCCCTGACTAATGACCTTTGACCTGTGACCTACTTTTCGAGACCATGTTTGGCCGGAATCGCGATTCGGCGTATGTCGGCTCGCATTTGCCGCGCGTTTGCAGTCCTTTCGTGGTTTCAAGCGTTCAAACATGGGATATGATGCTGCTCCCATGCATTAGGGTGGATGTCAAGGTCACCAGAAGGTCAGGTCAGTTCATTGACCTTTGATGACCTCGGTTTACTTTTTCGAGTTTTATCAGCATCTTTCTAGGCTAGTTTTTTTAGCTGATTTCGAATTTAACAACCATATATGAACATTTACGAAGTAGTTTTGGTGCCTTCGTAACATGTTACGAAGCTGTCAGAGGCGGTTGCCACCTAGTGCACCTACTACGAATACCCGGCAAAACCCTTACTGGTTGACCTGACCTGACCTGACCCGACCTGGCCTAAATGCATGAAGACATCATCTATGATCATAGCTAACATGATATTCGTGATCAGTTCCCTAAAAAACCCAATAGCAGCCACGTTTTACGACGTTCTAACAGGTCCCAGTTTTCCCCACTTTTGGGTCATTGACCTGACCTGGAAGGTCAACCGATGACCTAGGACCGACGACCTAGGATAAAATTGGGTACCATCGGCTTTCTCTCGTCACGGGCAGCACGCTCGTTTTTTTCCGCGAAGCTCTAGCTCAATCAGGGGCGAAACGGCAAGGAGGGGGTTCAACGGACCCCCCCTTAAACGTTCGTGGCTGAAAAACACCAATACGGGCGAGGGTTAACCCCCACCCTACTGTGGGGAGGGCTATTCATAGCCCCTCTCGTGTTTACGCAATATCTTTAAAACCGCTGGACGTATCAAAACAAAGCTTTTAGGACCTTCGGCTGCATCAATTTATTTGACACCTTGTGCACTAATAAAATTTTCGTAGCTACTATAGATCGGCCGGAAATGACGCCAGAGTGACATCATGTTCGGCCGATTTTGATGCAAAGCATTGAACAACGGTAATCGCTCTCAAGATCTGAGTTTTAACCCGGCAAGCGGTGGGCCTCCCGGCTACCTTCCGCGCGGTGGGAGGGGGGGGATTTTTGACCCCCCCCCCCCCGAATCTCCGAAGCTACTATGACGGATCGGTAAAATTTAAATGGCGTTCGATAGCCTTGTTAAATTTGTCGAGGGAACTTCAATTTCATTGACCTCGGGGTCACCGATGACATCACAGGCCAAGTCAAAGATAAAATGTTTCACCGTTCACGGGTCTTTTAAGGAATGCGCTGCAACATCGAGTAAAGGGCATTTTGTCAAAAATCAGCGATAGGGCGTGAGTTGCCTATTATACGAGCATATGTTGCTATTGGAGGTCACTGATAATACCAGGTCCGATCACCAAGGGTCAGCACATGAACCTATCTTTACTAAGTAGGGTTGTGCGATGCATGTTTTATGGCCAATTTTTCATATTCGCCTCAATGGTGTTGGTTATAAGACCATCAGGGACGGTTTTTTTGGTCACTTTCTGGTGGAGGTCAGGTCAATGTCAGGTCAAAAAGGTCAAATTTCAGGTCAAAGTTGATAGTTTCGCATAAAATTGGTATTGATTCGATGCCACTCGTCACGGCGAGTCTAATGGTGGTCTTTGTTTTGCGCTTTGTGGTCTAGAATTGCCAAAATCGAGTTTGAAAATTTGACGTCATTAATTTTGAACAGTTTTTTTTGTTATAACTTGGCAAAAAGGAGTTATCGATCTAATACTTGGAATGTGAATAGAAGTCCATAGTGGCTATTACATATATTCCGTTTGTTTCGAAAATCGAAAAACTTTTGGGATTTTTTGGCTATTATATCTATTTCTTTTTATTTTTGGGGTCAACTTCAAAAACAAAATCGAGAGAACAGTATAGTAGCCCTGGTAATTCTACACATTTCATGTCTTGAACATTTTTATGCATAATCAAATTTATAGACCTGACAGCTCTTCCCGCGAAGCTTTTTTTTTTGGTCGACAATGGCAGAAATGACGTCACTCCGACGTAGCGGCCAACTTATCATAGCCTTTGGAAAAAAAATTTGGTCACAATGTGCAAAAGGGTACTGAAAGTTTGGTGAAGATCGGCGCAGCGGTTCTGGAGATATATCGAAAAAAAACTAAAGATGGATGCAAAAAATGCCCCCCCCCCCCACCGCCTTGAGGGTTAAGCTAGATCCTTTTTTTTGCATGGGTGGACTCTACAGGGCTACCAAACTGATTTCGGACTTTCGAAATGTTGAATATTTTGAAAATTATAAATATAAAAACTCAGAAATTGTATTTTTTATTTTTTTACATATACGTTTCTGAATGAAAAAAAGCAGAATATGACCACGTTTCCATGGGCATCACTGATCCGGATCAGTAAAAATGGATTAGCTAATCCAGTATAGTTAGACAATATATGAAAATGAAAATAAGGGATTAACTGATTATATAAGCCTAATCCACTTGGAATTATATCATGTAACGAAGAGTTCGAGAAATATAATACGATTTAAGTTTGCTGATCCGGATCAGTGATGCCCATGGAAACGGGGTCTATATGTGTTTGAACACATATGCGTTGAATATATGTGAACTTCATCTGACAAACACCTTTTTTGTTGAAAAATGTCAACTTCAAAATTTGACCATTTTTGACCTAAAGTGACCTGACCTGACCTCAGCTATATTCAGCTAAAATGGCCTAAACTGACACATACAACACTGATTTCGATATATATGGCCTACATGAACCATAAAACATGTCTCACGTCACCGATGCACGATATAAAGCTTTCGTGACCTGGGATGAGATGGCCTTGACCTGAAAAATTCGAAGTACAAGTTCGGTACCCTCAGGTTATGTTACGCATATATTCACGAGTGTGCAAACAAAAAATGAGCCTGATCTGATTTGTTGGCCGGCGCCCAGAGTGCCAAGACGCTGATATTTTTACTTTGACCTGACCTGTGAAGTCATCGATGACCTCGAGGTCAATGACATTAGGCTTCGCTCAACAATATTTCCAGGGCTACCAGGGGCCGTTTGAATTTTGACAATCGGCCCAGTAGTTTCGGAGTTAGGAGCCCCCCCCCCCACTGTAACGTGCTGTAACGTGCTGTGGGGCGCGTTAGAGCACATACCCCAGTGAGGCGTGGGTTAACAAATAAAAAAACACGTTGATTTCCGACGCTGGGAAATGCCCGCAATGATACCCACCCCACCACCCTCCCCCTACCCGGTCCAACAGGGTCTCAAGGAAATTCAACAACATGAACCGAAACAAAGGCTGCGATCTTTGCTGGAAATGGCACTCGTGAGATAAGTATTATTATGCTGAAGATACAACGACTTACTTGTTATTTCCGAGTATCCTCCACCGTCAGCTACGCTAACCACCCACACAATCACCGTTCAAATATTTAAAACCACGGAGCACCTTCACAACGCCGGCGCGCGGCCGGAACTGACATGGCGGCGCCGCTGCAGCAGAGTCAGACGCACGTGGATTGTTAGTAAGGGTGTAGTGTTGTCATGGTGTTGCCATGGTATACCTTACCATAGCAGCAGAAGCACACCCAGGGAACTGTTGCAAGAAATTTCTGGCCTTTCGTCCATAAAACTATTAATTGCTCAGGGTCTCAGCTAGTCCTTGGATGACGCTCCTTCCAACATATCAAAAATTGGCAAACACCTCTATGGAAAGGAGGAGACTTGATCGCCGAATTCACCTGCTGGATCCGCCCGTGGAAAGGTTGATTTTACTATGGTAGGGAATATTAGCTTACGAGGGTATCTACTAGCCTCAGGTGGTTACCACCTTGTAAACTGGGGTACAAAACCACCCCTGATAAACGTAACCATGGTAATATCAACATGTCAAGGCAGGATAGTATTCAGCACCATAGTAGGCTGGTAGTAATATGATGGTAGGCTGATGGTAAAATTTACCAAAGCTAGTAACTTAGTAAATTGATGGTAAAAACTTTTTTCAGTGAGGGCCGGAGGTGACGGAGCTGAGGTGGCTGGGAGGGTACCCGTGGGGCGGTCTGTCAGTGTCGCTCCAGGGGGTGGCTGCCGACACCATCAGTCACCTGGCTGACCTGGGACGGACGGTCAAACTACTGTATATATACGGTGAGCAGCGGCAGCACGGACAGGCCGCTGATATACGAGATCAGCGAATGGCGGACACCGAGTAACGGTGTGCCGTTGTCTCACCTCATAGAGACAGGTGTGATACATAGCCAATGTGCTTTGTGAAATAATGAAGCTAATTGAGCTCCAAAATGGAGGAGGACTGTTCAATCAGTGACATATTCCCTCATAGTTAGTTGAACAACATATTGCGATTGTAATGCAATGTTCAATGCACTTCAATGCATTGGCTGAAGTGATTGCATATCCATAGATAACATGAACATTCATGTTATCAGACAGGATCAGCGGACTGCAATACATGTCGATATATGGAAAAAAAAAACGAAACAGCTATGAATTCGCATGGTTTTATGGACACCGTAAGCCATGGTATAACAGTGGTACTATATGATATGCCATATAAACATGAATGAATGTGATAACATGAATGAATGAACATGTATGTGTGTCTCTGTGTTTTCCAGACTGTCATGATCTCACGGCCGGCAGCCTGGAGCCCCTCACCAGGTGCCCTGAGCTGCAGTATCTCACCCTGTCCGGCGGCGTCCCTGACACCGTGAGCCTGGAGACCCTCACCAGGTGCCCTAGGCTGTATATTCTCACCCTGTCCGGCGGCGTCCCTGACGCCGTGCTGGACATTCTCAGCGGCTGCCCCGGGCTGTTGAGCCTTACACTGGGGGACCGCCAGCGGCCGGCAGAGACGGCCTTCACAGCAGCAGCGTACACCAGGTCAGTCAGCAGGCACTGGCGAGGGGTGTCCTGTCAGACACTGACACTGACACAGTGACACTGACACATACACACTGACACACTGACACTGACACACTGACACTGACACACTGACACTGACACACTGACACACTGGCATTGACACACTGACACTGACACGCTGGCACTGACACTGACACTGACACACTGACACTGACACACTGACACTGACACACTGACACTGACACACTGACACTGACACACTGACACTGACACTGGCACTGGCACTGACACACTGACACACTGACACACCGACACACTGACACACTGACACACTGACACTGACACACTGACACACTGATAGTGACACACTGGCACTGACACATTGTCACTGACACCAACACACCGACACTGAACTACTGACACTGACACTGACTCGTACGTCCGGCCGGCTGGTGCCGCTGTGTTTGTGTGTGACGGCTCTGCTGCTCTGCTCTGTTACAGACTGGTGAAGTCGTGTCGGAAGCTGATTGGGCTGTACCTTCACTGCACGGCAGACACCGGCCGGGCCGTGCTGACCGCCCTGAAGGAGGCGGACCTGGGCCGGCGCAGTGATGGCCGGCCCCGTACCATCCATCTCGGTGTCCCCGGTAGGTGAGAGGGCGCCGCGCGCCGCGCCTCTGACCAGTCAGTCCCTCACAACAGACGCTGCACGGCGCAACCGGCCTCTCAGACACACACACTCGACCACCGCCGCAGGCCGCGTCACGGACGGCGACGTGACGCGTCACGGCCACCACGGCCGACGGTGACGTCACGTCAGACGTCTGTCCTGTGTGTGACGTCACTGTCCGGCGGTGTGTGGACATGGCTGTACCGCTGTCTGTGTGTCTGTCTGTGTGTGACGTGTCCACCTCAGACGTGTCTCTGCTCTGTCCACAGGGGAGCTGTTCCGTCAGCTGAAGAGCCAGGAAGGCGATGGGGTCACAGTGTGGAAGTGGTGGGATTGATGCGCTGCACTACCGACCGTGCAGTGATGAGCGGACTGCAGAGAGGCCGAGCCAGTCGGCCGGGGCCGCCAGCTGACTGCTGCCGTGTGTGCTGCACCAGCCGGCACTGAGAGCGGCGCCGGTCAGCCGGCACACGGCCCCCGTGTCCGCTGTAGTGTAGTCATGTAGTTGTAGTGGTTGTAGTGTAGATGTAGTAGTAGCACACGGATGTGATGTACTGGGTAATTACCCGGCGGGTATTGTGGGTAATTGGACAGTGAAAAGTGATGTGATTGAGTGTAGAAACTGATCACGACATTGCGATATTTTGTATATAGAACCCACATCTTAGCTTAGCTGTATAAATGGGGGCACTCCCGGACCGTCCAACTCGGTTCTCCGCGCCTGGTCCCGGCGGCACGGCCTCAGTCACGTGACCGCCGTGCCGGGTCGGCCGGCTCGGTCACGTGACCGCCGTGCCGGCTCGGCCGGCTCGGTCACGTGACCGCCGTGCCGGCTCGGCTCGGCGGACAGTCGGACGGGGACGCTGTCTCACCGGCACCGAGGTGCACAGTAGTGATGTCAATTACAGAAAATCAGAATACCGATACCTAACCAAATACCAACCGAAAATCCCGGGAAAATACCGAAACCAAACCAACTTGGGAAAATGAGGGAAATACCAACTTTTTACTGATTTATTAGCCTCTTATACATTAGCGAGGGTTTATGATACCGTAAAGTGGGGCTATTTGAGACAGTAAAGTAGTGGTTTAGTAAAATCGCTGTAAAATGAAAACCGTTCGATATTTTTTCGTCATTTTTGCTTAGGCTGATGTGGAATTGAACAGTGAATGACCTGAATAACCTTTTTGAAAAATTTCGAAAAGTTTTGAAAGAAATTTGGTCTAAAATACGAAATACAGAAAAACGCACAATTTAAGTTGCTCGAAAAGGACCCCCACCTGCCGCTTAACATAGTTCAAATTTTAACAGCTTCGGCACTGCATCTATCGTTACTACCGTTTTACTTATAGGCTAAGCATATTTTTCATGAAAATATTATACATTGTTAACGTTACTGCCGATTGCGTAACCCATTGTCTCAGAATCCCGATGATGCCCACCTGGTCAAACCTCAACCGATATGCCAAATAGCTACTGATAATGGTGATGCGATTGCACCCGAGAAGACTTACCACCATCTACTTGAAGTGCATCGAACGTTCGACATGAGTAACACCGATGGATTGGTCGTGGTCATAAACATGCAGTGGGTTCATGGTATTTAGCAGGAAGCAATATTTACATGTTCGTAGTGTAACATAATGACCCTTTAGCTGGTGACCAAACTAGTTATTCTGATGAATATGTGCTTAAAATGTGCTTCATCAGTCACTTACTTAGTCGACAATAACACATGTCTACCTTGGTTGACCAAAAAACACCATTGAAGATTACTTAACACATGAACGTACTGTTAGGTGAGCCTATGCAAGTAGGCGATGTGGTAGGGTTACCGGCCAATTGATACAGCATGCAGCGATCGAGGAAAATCGTCATAAAATCAAAACCGCTTAACATTTTTATGTTATTTCTTCGCATGAAGATGTGCAATGGAACAAGGAATCATGCAGACTATTCACTTAAATGTTTTGGGAAACCTTTTAGCTCGTTTGATTCATTACGGTGTGCTTCATTAGGTAGCGAGCCTGTCTCAAATAGCCCCACCGACTTTCAGTATGTCTGTTTTCACGCCACCAGGGCTATATACAAAAACTTTCTTTCAAAATTTTACTGTTGTTGTCTTTAGAATAGTCCTTGATGATCATTCTGCAAATTGGAAAGTTTAGGGTCACATCATATTATGACAGCCTTAGCATATAGTGATGCAATTTTATAACCTACCGAAATGAAGCATCCTACGAAAAAGGAAAAGATTGAATATAAAGGAAATGTAACTGTCTTTGCAAAAACAATTTTTGCTAGAATGATCAAAATTTAATTTCCAATCACATGGCATTTAAAAAATTATCTCTAGTGTGACCGATTTTCTTCAATTTCTTCGTAACTAAAACTGTCTCAAATAGCCCCACCCTATGGGGCTATTTGAGACAGGATCTAACTAAAAAAATATCCTTAACCATTATTACTAGCTGAACCAAAATGCACCTATATGAAAGAGCTTACGGAGAACTACATTTTTGCAATTTACATGCTATAAGAAATATGAACCGTCTTAAAGGGAGAGGCCAAAAACTGTAAAATCCGTTTCAAATAGCCCCACTTTACGGTACCAACAAAATACCAAACACATTAGGATTGAAATACCAAGTACCAAGTTGGTATCGGTTTGGTATCGGTATACCAAACGTTGGTATCCGATTGACATCTCTAGTGCACAGCGCGCCATGTTGAGTGCTCTGGATGCGTGTTGTGACACTCACACGGACAGGTATATATCAATACACTACTGGATAGGCCGTCCGAGCTGTATAGGCGGTGTCAGCTGAGACGGCGGCTCACAGCCGCGCCCGCCCGCCCGCTCCGGCAAGTGGGTGTCTGTTCTACTCTCTGTCTTCTATACATACACGAGAGGAGTTGCTTGAGCTGTATCATATATGTAGCCTTCAATAAACCAATGAGCAGTGTGCCGAGTGTTTGTCCGGCTGCACCGTCCGCCCCGCTCCGCTGTGAACCGTCATTTTCCGCCCCGCCCCGCTGTGAACCGTCATTTTCCGCCCCGCTCCGCTGTGAGCCGTCATTTTCCGCCCCGCCCCGCTGTGAACCGTCATTTTCCGCCCCGCCCCGCGCGGTCACAGACGGTCCGCCCCGGCGGAGCGGAGCGGCAGTCTCCGTACACCGTCTCCGTACCCGTCATATACGGACCGTACAGCAGCCGTACACACTGCAGTGACACTGCAGTGACACACACACGGACAGACACGGAAACGCCTTGACACGGGAGACACCTCATCACGGAGACACGGAGACAAGGAGACACGGACACACGGCGACACAAGGAGACACACGGAGAGACACATCGATACGGACATACACGGAGACACGGAGACACCTCGACACGGACACACAAGGTCCCCGGCTTCTGCCCGGCCATATCCACTCGAGCTACAGCGAAACAGGTGATGAGTGAAAGTCAGAACTACTCGACTGATGTGGTATTATAATCAGCACCAAGTCCCCCCGTCCCTCCCATACAGCGGTGCGGCGCGGCTGCCGAGCTGTCTGCCGACTGGTGCGGTGCCGCCGGCCGTGGCCGCTCGTCTGTCGGCGGCCCGGACTGCAGCCGGTGGCCGAGCTGCCGGTCCCGGCGACTCGCTGCCGGCTGGGCTGACCGCCGTCAGTCACCTGAGCGGTGCTGGCCGGCCGGAGCCGGGACTGCGGCGCGCCGCGGCACCTCAGCGACGCACCCTCTGGGACACTGAGCGGCGCGCACCGGTGGGACCGTCTCTGCCGACTGTCCCTACCCCATGAGTGGGACCGGTGGGACTGTCTCTGCCGACTGTCCCTACCCCATGAGTGGGACCGGTGGGACTGTCTCTGCCGACTGTCCCTACCCCATGAGTGGGACCGGTGGGACTGTCTCTGCCGACTGTCCCTACCCCATGAGTGGGACCGGTGGGACTGTCTCTGCCGACTGTCCCTACCCCATGAGTGGGACCGGTGGGACTGTCTCTGCCGACTGTCCCTACCCCATGAGTGGGACCGGTGGGACTGTCTCTGCCGACTGTCCCTACCCCATGAGTGGGACCGGTGGGACTGTCTCTGCCGACTGTCCCTACCCTATATGTGGTGGTCCGTTTCTGCGGCGGCCGCTGAGCCCCCAACCCTGTCCTTCTCCTCTCCCAGTCCGCTGTGCAGGGTCGCTCGAGGTCACGTGGTCAACTGGGCTGTCTTCTCCAATGCACCTTGTATTCGTCGATCGACCTTACACACCACCGTGCAGTCACATGACTACGACCCGACTCCCCTCCGTGCCGTCCGACGCGCCGGCATGGCCCCACAACTGGGACAAACGGCCGCCGGGGACGCTCCTATGTCCGATGTTCGTCTCCGTCCACACCGGAGAGGACAGGGCAGGCGGCGGCCGGCCGACGCTGCCCGCGGCGCCGAGGTGACAGCCTCAGACCTCGCTGCTCCCAGTACGGTACACTGGTCAGGCCGGGCCGGCGGCGGCGTGCCATCGGCCGCCGGCCAGCCGGCCTCCCCGTACTGACCACTCACTCACATACAACACACACCCCTGTTTATCGAGAAACATACACAACATACGCTCTGAACTATGTAATCAGCAGTCACGAACGAATAACGATGGTCTTCCATAACTCAATAGTCTCAAATGTCCCGCCCGCCCCCTGATCATCCACCGGTGCCGTCCCAGTGGTCGGTCGGGGCTCGACCGGTGGTCGGTCGGCAGACAGACCGACCGGTCACCGCCAGGTCACGGCCGGCCCACTGACAAGCACGCCGTGCCGCCGCCGGGGCCGTGGCCGTGCTCCGGCCGTGCCCTGAGCGGGCTCACCGGCTCTGACCCACCGGCCTCAGAGATCTGACACCAACTACCGGCTGGACGAGCCGCCGAGCGGCCTGCCGACCGACCGCTCCCGTATGGCAGCGGGCCGCCGCCAGCTGCACCACCCGACACCGACAACAAGCACCGACACACTGTCACAGCACATCCAGCAGCGGGCTTGTCTCGCTGTCAACCACGGGCCCTCGCCTGTCCATCAACGCACTCACAAAACCAACTAATCACCCTCGCCTGCCCATAAACGCACTCACAAAACCAACTAATCACCCTCGCATGTCCATAAACGCACTCACAAAATCAACTCATCACCCTCACCAGGCCATCAACGCACACACACAATCAACTTATCACCCTCGCCTGCCCATCAACGCACTCACAAAATCAACCGGTCACCTCTCGTCAAATACACCCAAAATAATACCTAACTCACAACCATTTCCGTATTTATCGGAAAATCCCACCACAGCAGTCACCCCCGTTGCCGTCGTGTGGCCTTTCCGTTGCCGTGCGGGACGATTGTCGGCACCCGTCGCTGCTGTGGCCAGCGGGCGGCTCCAGCACAGCGGCGAGCGTTACTGGCTGCAGCCGGTGTGTCCGTGCCCACAGCCGGGTGCAGCTGTTGGAGGCCGTGTTGGAGGCCAGTGTGACGTCACACCGTCGTGCCGTCCCAGTCCGTGTCAGTGTCCGAGTGACAGTGGTCTATATATATATGTTACGGGTCATATGCTAACTTGGGCAGTATGCAAACTGCCCGGGCAGTATGCAAACTACCCAACAGCTTATGCATACCGCCCGGGTAGTATGCATACTACCCGACCCCTTGGGCAGTATGCATACCGCCCAAAAGCTTGGGCAGTTTGCATACTGCCCGCCTCTCGTCTTGAAGTTGTGTATTCCATGTCCATTTTAAAAATAAAAATGGATCTCTGAGTAAAATAGCTTAACTACGAAGTCTGTTTTGCCGTCAAGCGCGTTTTATCGATTGAAGGATGGAAAAAGAATTATAATATACAGACTTAAGTTTTTTTCCCAGAATTTCATTGTTTATAGCCAGCGGCCAACAAGTCATTTTCATCTGAAATGACGACAGATCTAATCACTCGATGGCTTTGGTTTGGCATCTGGACCTGCAGAGGGCGTAAGTACAGTTTCAATAGCTAATGCTGCATGAAATCATTTGCATGTAAGGCGTAAGTTCTTATGGTCAGGTAACTGCAGGGCAGATCAAATGACCTTACCTCAGAAAAGGCTAGAACTTGTTCGTCATAGCTACCCCGACTGAACGATCGCTTTGAAACTTTCAGCGATCAATAGCAGTAAAAGCATGTATAAAATACATGCATTGGAACTTTGATGTCCAGCCGATGACCTAAGGTCAGGCCAATTTTGCAGTCTCTTAGAAGTTGACAGGAGAAAGTTGAAAGACGCCTTTTTGGATAAAAGTCCTTCTAAACGCTCTCAAATATCGGGTTCCATGTAAACACAACACATTGAATCAGCAAATTGCACTTGTGGTGACCCCTCTTTATGACCATGAGGTCATGTCAGGTCATAACAGATCTTACCTATTAATTAGACCTTAGGTCAAATTTTAAAGTGGTCTTAAAAGCCAAATTATAGTTATGTCGACGCGTCTCGACGAGAGGAACACGATGCCGGCAAACGCAATGTCGTGCTTATCTAAAGTAAACTAATTTTGCCGTAAAATATATAAATCGTCAAAACAGCTATTTTAGGCGTTATTGCCCTCTGGAGGCTACACCGTTGAGCTTAGGTCTACTTTGAGGGCTTATTCCAGAAAGCGTTAGAAGAGCTACTGCATGCGTATCTCTGCGGCGCTTTAGCTCTATTAGTTTCCGAGCTTGTGGGCCGATTTGTAAAAAAGTTAAAAAGGTGAAAATTGACCTTTGATGACCTCTGGTGACCTGATCTTTGGTCTGACCTAAAACATGACTGGAGTTTTTTCCATGATTTTTTATGCTATGTTGAATGCCGCTTACGGCATCTTACATGCAGCTTACTCCTGTGCCGCTAAGTGGCACAGGAGTCGAGTTAGGGTGTTCAATCCCCCTTCCAAAAAAAAACGGCACGGCTGGTACCGAGCGCGGCCCCGCGCGGGTTAAAGTGTCTGCCATTGACATTGTATGCGAGCTATTGCATTAAGTAGCCTCACGAGCCACGGTCAGCATACTGCCCGAGTAAACATCCTGCCCGTGAGATGAAAGGTGGGTAGTATGCATATTACCCGGGCAGTATGCAAACTACCCGGGTGGTATGCATACTGCCCAAGCGGTCGGGTAGTATGCATACTACCCGGGCGGTATGCATACTGCCCGGGCTGTTGGGTAGTTTGCATACTGCCCGGGAAGTTTGCATACTACCCGAGTTAGCATATGGCCCGTAACATATATACAGACTTGTAAGCGATTCAACTCTGATTGAATCGATTCTCATGAATCGCTTGAAAATGCCGACTCACTGTGATTGAGTCGGTTGAATCACCTCTTGTCACCATATGAATCCTGATTGAATCGGTCACACATGGCAACTGCAAGTGATTGAATCGGCAACTCATCGATTCAAGTTGATTGAATTAACAAAATGATTCAATCACCATGTGCTGAAAATTGAAGTTATGACCATATTTAGTACTATATTATGTACAAATATATGTGGCATTTGCGTCATAGTCACACACAATGCACTGCAAAATTTTTAGGTATTTTGTCAGTATTATAAATGCGCACAGCTATCATTATTGAAAAAAACATAAAAATTTTGTTTTAAGTTTTTAATCAAACTGTAAACACAAATTATACATAAATGTCAGTGCATGTAGATGAAAAAATGAAAGTAATGTTTCTTTCCATTGCCCTAAAATCAGTATAGTAATCAAGTTAACAGTAGCAGTAAGCAGCAGGCGCACATTGCTGAACACACATGTTTTAGATATCATGTTAATCTTTATATTTTCAATACCCTGTTTCATCAGGACATTTGTGAGTAAGCAAAACATATTGATGAATACACAATGCATGTTAACATTATAATTTGGTAACCTTAGTTACTGATTTGATTTTGGGCTAAGGGTCATAA